CACCCAATGCTTCTTCTTATTCCCACACATCAAAAATAAATTACGCGGACAACGATTTTCGGCCCCCCGAAGAAGCGGTTGATGCATTCAAAACGCATGTTTTGGAGTTACCTCAATCGGACTGGAAAAAGTGCTTTGAAAATTGGTTCAAACGCATGCAAAAGTGTATTGATCATCATGGAGAATATTTTGAAAAACAATAAAACCAATTTCGATCCTACATATTTGTTTTTTCATTATTAGGCCAGAAATATAAATAGCAACCCTCGTATATGGCACTCGTGCGTCTGTATGCTCTTGCACTGGGCTAGATTCAAGGGGAAGGAGTATTTTACTCATACTTTTAATTCCGCTATGTTTTGATCGCTTAGTCCAACTAAACATTGCTGAATTTTTCTCCCAAATCAAGAAAATGTCATTTTTCTTTCTTTTTAATTTCTTCTTTGGTAAAGCGGAGGACATTCACTTATTTATGTTAGTGATATGAATTTATTTGCTTACTTCTGTACACGCATGTATCATTTAAGAATGATCTAAAAAGTTTTCGTTAAGAATACATTCATAAATAATTTTTATTTAAATCTCACGAATACACACACCCGATAACTTTATCAAGTTCAGATTATTATAATTTTGAGTTAAATTATTTTTTTTACATAATTGAATAAAATAATTATTGAGTGAAAAAAATAGAATGGGCAAAGCTATATTGAATATGTTTCAAATTGTGCGTTAAAGGTCTGTATGGTGACTAATAAAATCTGGGATGGAGTTATTTGCCAAAAACTCCTATCATGATTGTGTAAAATCTTGAAATTTTTTATTTCGCTAACCACTATTTTATGTTGATATAAAAGGAACACTTTCAACAATAGGGAGATGTTTTTTTTTAAAGTGTGCATATCCTAATTTTTATTTATTTTTTTCGTTAATTTGCTTAAGAATATTTTTTTCAATGCTTAATAGGTGCTTTTTCTTTTTTTTTTCTACGTATTCTGTTCTTGACTTGCTAAAGCACTTAAATCTTAATTGAATCTCCGTACTTGATGACGATGTAAGTTTTTATTTTTTCTTGTTCGCTACATGCGTAATTTATTGCTATTTTCCCGAAAATTATAATATCTCGCCGATCAAAATTTTAACCACCTTCTGACTAACTGGAGTACTCGAATTTTCTTTGGATAGATGTAATCGTTTTTTGATCTCGACAGACAGAATTTTTGGCCAATCAAAATTTTACCTTATTTCAACTAACTGCTCAAACTTAAAATGGAACTTTTTACTGGACAAGTTTCAGTTGATTCTCGACCACTACAAAGTAGAATTTAATGTCAACCGAAATTTTGACCCCTTTCCGACTTTTTCTAGCTAAAATGCGCACGTTCTAGATGGAGCACTGTTCCTGATTTTTTGCCAATACAAGTCACAATTTATTTTCTAAGTGAAGCAAGCAGAATTTATTTTTTAGTAATAAAACTTTTTACTACTTTTCAGCAACAACTAAGAGACAAAAAAAAGAGAATAAAAGAAAAACAATATAATAACTATTCAGTTTTTAATTATAATATATTAACTTTTAAAATAAAATAATTTTTGTCAGACATAAAACGAAAAATTCATCACTTTCGCAATAAAATAAGCTTCTATCACAACCGAACGTTGAAAGTGCGTGCCTTGCGATTTTCGTTTCAGATCTCAGTAAGAAACATAAAATTTTTTTATCTATTTTAGACTATTTGAAGTTGTTTTTTTTTAAATTTTATCCTTATTTTTCTGTTTGAAAACAAAATAATTAAGTATCTAAATTGCTTTATTGGCGGTACATGTTTCGATTTCATAAAAACAAATTTTTTTTGCATTCTTCCATATCAATTACCTGATTCAATTTTCCCCAATGCAAATATATTTCCGTAAGTTAAAGATAAAAAATCATCGCAAGATTTGGCGATTTTAATCTAGGATGCTTTTATTTAACCTTTGCTTCAGAATATTAAATAAAATGATCCTTAATTTTTCTCTTGCATGAAACAGTTGGTGAATCTTGATGTAACTCTAGGCTCACTGATTTGCATGGATTTGAATAGAATTAAATTATTTCCAACTCGATTCATGCATCTGGTAGGTCTTTAACATGCGGTTTAGCTTATCCAATTTAAGCAATAAGTTTAGGATTGATAATGCTTTTTTGTTTCGATCCATCTTGACCAAAACCCTTTTCTTTTTTTCAAATTATGCAATCTTATTTAATCAATGACGAATTTTTGGAATGAACATTCTTTCTATATTTAAATTTATTAAAATAACTTCATCGTGTGGAGAATTAAATTTTACTTGAAATTTTGATTAAATGCTTTTGTATGTGATATAATCAGCAACGCGTTAAATTTTTTGTGTATGTTCAAAAAGTATTTTGTTTTATGTTTGTAATACGGAATCTCAGTAACCGTGGATTTTTCATAAATATTAGGAATTTTTGTCACTACTGTAGAATTGTTGAAAGAGGTTGAAGGAGGAATTTTTCGATTTCTTTAAATAGGCACTTGTTTATTTTCAATGTGTGCAGGATCTTTTTTACTACTTTTCCACAGCTTCGAGACACTTACTTTTTTGTTAGAAACATTTAACACTTTCACGTAGCATTATACACATATTGCTCGTGTGTTCACTTACGTTATTGCAGATATATGTTTAAAACTATTAAACCAGCATTATTTTGCCGATTAATAATGTATGCTTTAACAATGTAGATTACACAATGATTTAGTTATTCAGTTAAAAGTCAAGTTAGGAAAAAACTAAGCGTCTCCAGTAAACAAACCTCTCATTTTTAAAAGTAAATTCATTTTTATGACATAAAACTAAATGCAAACTTATATTTAAAAAAAAAAAATGACGGTTACATTTTATTCATCTATCTGGTTTTTATGACTCCAACACAAGGGGCATTTCCGCATAAGGAAAGTGAACCTGAGTAAAATTAATATCGCTAGCGAAAAATCATGTACCTTCGATAACATTTTGAAGTCAATTGGGTTAACCCAGCGGTCGGCAAAGTGCGGCTCCAGAGCCGCATGTGGCTCTTTGGCTCCTTAAGTGCGGCTCTGGCACAAATATTAAGGGAAGGCGCAATAATACTTTCATTTTAAAAAAAAACTTGATAAGAAAAAAATTACATCTTATTTTGATAAATTTAATGTCTTCTATAAATCGAGAACATGTATAATTGTTTGTTTAAGTTAGAAGCTAGATAGGTAAATAAAACTTTATATTGTTGTAAAAATACGTAACGAACATCGAGTTTAATTTTATGAGTTTTCGTAAACGTAAACACAATATATGTATTCGTATGTTTTCGGTATGATACAAAGGTACCAGGAGAATACGCGTGCATACTTTTTCTAAAGTAATGGGGGTACAAATTGGCATCCACAGACCAGCAGTTGCAGTGTGAACAGTTTTGTCTTGTCTGCCGTTGTCCTGTCTTATTAAAAAGTTGTTGTATTTTTCAATCTAGCTGCACATCTTACAGGTATTTTTATGCGATTTTATTACACCTGCTATGTATGTTTGTGGTTCCGGTACAAAATTTGTAATCGATTTTTCAATAACTTCTATTTGTCCAAATGTTGGAAGTTTTCTTCCGATGCTCTGCATCGCGCTGCTATAAATAGAACTACACCCCCGATGAAAGCACATTGTTCGCATTAATAAATATTTATTAAGTATGCAATTTTTTTT